ATTTCTCATAAGGATATTTCTGGTCTTTTGCATTCTTCATAAGTCTTGAACTACTTTTTGTTGTTGTAAACATGAATTGTTGCACCAAAATCTAACCACCAATCAAATGACTTATTTGTAGTAGCCATATGAACTTTTGTGATCATTCCAATTTGCATGTCAATTACCATTGCAACAAATTCATTAATTTCTTGCTCAACCAGATTTGCCTTGCTTTTAGAACTATAACTAATCTTGATTCCAAAATTTTTAAATCTGCAATCTTTAATCAAATGTCCTTTCTTTCCACAATGGAAACACATTTTATTCTTGTTAAATTTGGATTTCTTAAATCCATTCTTCTTGACTTTAAAATTGTTTTGAAATTTACTAGAAGACTTGTGAGTTTTTTCAAAATTTTATCCACTCACATAATTCACGTTAGAACCTCCAAGGAAGACTGCATCTCTTGCATGGTTTTTGCTTCAATTTGTATGTGAGTTGAAATTCTTCAATAATGAAAGTATCTATTGAATGCAAAACTTTCTTCTTATATCCATTCCAAGAAGGAGAAAGTTTTGACAAAATAGCTTCAACTTGAAGTGAATCAGGAACTTTAATTTCTAGCTCACTTAATTTAGAAACTAGAATTTGCAACTTGTGCACTTGGTCCATGATTGGTTTATCATCAGTTATTGAAAATTCAAAGTATTTCAAAGCCAAAAACTTATCCGTACCTTTCTTTTCATTCATGTATTTGTGTTCAAGAGCAATCCATATCTCTTTTGGTGTTTTCATATTTTTGTATAGGTCATATAGACGGTCAGATAATGAATTCAAAATATAACCTCGATAGACTAGTTCATCTTTTTTACATTTGCTTCTTATTGCCTTAATAGCATCAGAATCTTCAGGAGTTGGTTTTGGAATTGGTTTCAAATTTAGATCAAGTACATAAAACATCTTTAACGCTGTCAATAGAAAACCATTTTATCCTTTCACCTAGTGTAGTTTAATCCATTAAAAGGATCAAGTTTGATTACATCTTGATTTTGAAAATGAATCCTTATGCTTGATTTCAAATCCATAACAATAATAGGGACAATAATAGATGTAGTATCTATAATTGCCTTTAAATTGTTAGTAAATTTAAGAAAAGCAAAATAGTAAGAAAGAAGAAAATATGGCTTTGAGGCGTGAATAATACTATCTTAAAGGCAATTATGCCTATAAGATACAACAAAGCCTTAAAACTCTCTAAATTAGAATTAGTGAAATTGGTCAGGCAGAAAGATCTATTTATAACAAATGAACAGTCATCAATCAAGCTAATTTAAAAAGTCATGACATTTTGTATAGTCATGTTTTATTGTTTAAATAAACTTTATTTAAACAATCATGTTTTTCACTGTTCAAATATATTTATTCAGAATTAGTAATATTTCAAAATAAATAAATAAATAATAATAATAATAATAAAGATTTAAAAATTAAATCTATTTGCTAAACAAGCCTAAGTGCTCATCTTTAACTTTTAAAATTGTCTAACCCACTAAGAAAACTCCTAGCAAGCCCAAATGACTTGGCCAACTCCAACACTTAACTCAATTACTTAAATAATACAAGTAATTTCTTTTAAACCATATATAAGTGATCTTTCTACTCAATGTGGAATACACCACATTCTAAACTACCAATAGTTACCACCAGTAAAAGTGATGAAGGTCTTGGCTTGAGGGAGGCTAGATTCTTGAATCAAGCTCAACTGGCAAAATTGGTTTGGCATTTTATGCATTAAGAGGAAGCCTTATGGATTCAGACTTTGAAAGCTAAATATCTTCAAATGACCAGTGACAGAGGAAAACCTTCTAAGGTCTTGATTACATGGAAAGCCATGAAGTGGGTTGGGCCTATTGTTGAAAGAGGTTTAGACTGGACTATCAAGGATTGTGCGACCACCAACATTTGGTTTGACAATTAGTTGGGTGGTGACAATTTGCAAGCCATTATGCAAGGACCTCTCAATCTTGGAAAGAATGAAATCAATGTAAAACAATGTTTAGAGGCTCTTCATAATCACTGTGATCTTCCCCTAACCTTTCAATTCCCTCATAACATCCTTGATATTATGAGAGCTATGCCAACCCAACTTATGGGCCAAGGGAGGGACTCTCTAGTCTCTCCCTATTAGACTGCCTCTCTTAAGGGTATTTTCTTAGTTCGTTAGCAACAATCTTGCCAAAGGAAAGGTGCAATAGACAACCAAAGGTCAATGGGAATGGATTTGGCAAATTAAAGCCTTGCCCAGGCTCAAGTTTTTCATATGAGAATGCATGCATGGCATTCTCCCTACTTAAGCAAATCTTGTTAAAATAGGCATCAGTGTGCCTAATGTATGCGTCCTTTACATGCAGAAGGTTGAAGACATGTAACACTTTTTTTGTAACGTCATTGGGTTAAAAACGTTTAGAGGTCCCTGGAAATTGTGTCTAGTTTTTCTCTCCAGGTGGTTGAGGACTACAAGCTATGGATAAGGAAGAAAATCTCAATTAACCTTCGATCTTTTTGTGGCATTCCTTGGAGCCTTCTATTTATCCATATTATTTGGAAGATATGGATTGAAAGAAATAAGATAATTTTCAATCGTGGGATGGCTAATACTAACATTGTGAAGAAGGCCACCATGAAAGCAGCAAAATTTTATGCCATGAATCTGGGGGGGATTCGGCTCCATCAACATTCCTTTATGTCTGTTAAATGGTCTCCTCCGATCCAAGGGGGTTTCAAGCTTAATACTGATGGCTCTTCCATCAGCAATCTTGGTAAAGGTGGAGCTGGTACACTTGACAAGGATGGAAGATGGATCATTGGCTCCTCTAGGTTTAAAGGGTCTCGAACTAACACATTTACAGAGCTTTGGGCCATAAGAGATGGTTTTGTACTTGCTAAAAACCTTAATATATTGAGAAGTGATCCAAAATTTAGTACACATTTGGGTTCAATGTCATAGTTCTTAAGATATAGTTAGTAGTAGTTATTATAAGTGGATGGGTGATTCTTAATATGCAACCGTTTTCTCCACTTTGCTCATTATCTATTAACTATTTTATTTTTATGCTTCACATTCTCTAATTAGTTGAGTTTTCTACTTGTGCTAGTTTTCTCATTATCTGTTAACTGTTTTATTTTTATGCTTCACATTCTCTGATTAGTTGAGTTTTCTATTCGTGTTGGTTATCTTATAAGCCTATTAAAAGATTGGTTGAATTTAATAAAAATAAAGGTGATTTAATTTCAGAAAACCTTCTTTCCAGTTGTTGAAAAATTTGTCACAATTAGAGTACACTAAAGAGCCTATATATATATATGAGACAGTACTTGAGCCCAAAAGCTTAAACTATTAAATTTTTTAGTCCTCCATATATATATAAGATATCTCATTACTGTTTTATTTTTATGCTTCACATTCTCTAATTAGTTAAGTTTTCTATTCGTGTTGGTTATCTTATAAGCCTATTAAAAGATTGGTTGAATTTAATAAAAATAAAGGTGATTTAATTTCAAAAAACCTTATTTTCAGTTGTTGAAAAATTTGTCACATTTAAAGCCCATGAGAGTACACCAGAGAGTCCATAAATATATATTAGACAGTACTTGAGTCAAAAAGCTTAAACTATTAAATTTTTTAATCCTCCATGTATATATAAGATATCTCATTCAAAATTTTTAGTGATGTGCACATGTAAACCTTATCCAAACATAACCTTTAATCTCTAATTGCAGGTCTTTGCTGCGCGAGTTTGAGAATCAGAAAATTGTTTATGTTTTCCGAAAGGGAAACAGATGTGCTGATGCGTTTGCCCGCTTTGGTGGTAGGAACTTTTGTAATAGTTGTAATAGCTCTGAGGTTTCCTTTATGTTATATTTGGAACCTGCTGCTTTTTTTAGAGACTTGCTCGCTGAAGATACGAATGGACATGTTTTTGTATCAGGCTATTTTATAGTTAATCTATCCTCCTTTTTCGTTCTCCTAGCTCACTTATTATTTTTATTTTGTTCCAATGTATGATAATCTCTTCCGCCGAAAATGATCCCAGTTGGCCACATTATTGCTCCTCATAACAGATTTAACACCACTCCTAATTGTCCCGAGCTTGTTCTTCGAAGTCTACTGCGGTTTTTCTCTTCACCGTCTCCCTCCCACACGTTGCTTTGCATACAGTATATCTCCTCCGCCTACTCGATGAAACACCCTCCACCGCTCTACGTTAGAATACTACATCAATATACGACAAATTGACATGTTTGATGTTTCAATGACAATTCCAAAGGATATGCTACTCTTTGATCTTCATGCATGCAAATGTGACAAAAAATAGTGAATGATTCCTACTTTTCTTTTGTTTGTCTTCAACGAACAAGTTACTTTGTTTCTCAAATTTTAGTTTGCGGAATACTAATGAACTTTGCCGGCGATCCACACCTCGAAGTACTGTTCGGTTTCTTTTCTGTTTGCATACAATGCCAAACATTAATTTAATATATTTTAAAGAATTAAAAAATTATTAATCAAAATTCACAAAAAAAGAAAAATTACTGAGTACTATTTACATTTACTTCAAAATTGGTCTTTTTCTGGTTTTGCTTAGCGGCAAAATCTTTAAAATTAAGCAAAAAAATAAGTACGAATTTTCTCCCGTCACACATAAAGGCTCAGCTTTCATCACATATAAATTTCTGAACAAATATTTATGAATGAATACAATAAAATCCGAATAATTGAATTTAAAGTGAATATATAATATAATATTGGTTAGTGAAAGATATGGGTTAAAGATGGCAGACAGAGCAGGTTGATTCCGATTCCGAGTAAGAGAAGACAAGAGAAGGGTTTATTCCAACCCAAAAAGCTTGGCATAGAAAACAATGCGTATATTTGCTGCGATCCCTCAGTCGGCCTATAAGACGTTTTCTCCACTTAACTCTTTGAATCTACAGCCGCATGCAGGGAGAATAGATCGATGGAGAAACCTTGTGATCAAATGGAAAGTGGTGATGAGGAGCAGAAGCAGCAGCATCATGTCACAAGCAAAAAGGGTGGTCTTAAGACCATGCCTTTTGTCATATGTAAGCTTAAATACATTATACATTCGATTTCTTACTTTTGAAGTTTTATAGATAGATATAATATTAGTAGAATATAATTAAATTGTTTTGTTTGTACAGCAAATGAGACATTTGAGAAAGTTGCAAGCATTGGCCTTCTGGCAAATATGATTTTGTACTTGAAAAATGAATATCACATGTCTAATGCCACCGGAGCTAACGTGCTATTCCTATGGTCTGCAATTTCCAATTTCACGCCAATCCTTGGGGCCTTTCTCTCTGATTCTTTCCTTGGCCGCTTTCGTGTCATTGCACTCGGAACATTCATCAGCCTTCTTGTAACTATATAATTTTCTTAATTAAATTACTTGGTTAATCTGTAAGTTATTTTTTTACCGATCGATCCATCAATATTCTAATTATGTGCGATCGATTATTCTGGCAGGGAATGAGCTTATTATGGTTAACTGCAGTCCTTCCACAAGTAAGGCCTCCCGATTGCAACAGTCAGATTGTACAAAGTTGTGCCTCCCCAAAACCAGCTCAGCTGGCGCTTCTCTTCTCCTGTTTTGCTCTTATGTCCATTGGAGCCGGTGGGATTAGGCCATGTTCCATGGCCTTCGGTGCTGACCAGTTCGACAATCCTAGCAACCCCAAAAACGATAGGATCTTGCAAAGCTTCTTCAACTGGTATTATGCTTCAGTTGGAATATCAATCATGATTTCGATCACTGTTATTGTCTACATTCAAGATAAAGCCGGGTGGGCTGTAGGCTTTGGAGTTCCCGCAGGGCTCATGCTGATCTCGACAGTCATGTTCTTATTGGGATCACCACTTTACATCAAAATGAAGCCAAACAAGAGTTTGTTTAAAAGCTTTGCCCAAGTCATAGCGGCAGCTTGGAAAAACAGACACTTGGCTTTGTCACCAATGGACTCTAATGGAGGAATACGGTACTATCACAAAGGTTCCAAGCTTATTGCACCAACAGAAAAACTAAGGTAATTCATATTACATCAAAATGAAAAAACTCATAGGAAGAATATTTATATTCTTAATTAGTTTATCTGAATTCCGAATACTACTTCTATACTAGAACAACCAATTATGTGCCAGAGATTTGATTTTAACAAATTTCTTGTCAGGTTTCTTAACAAAGCTTGTGTGATTAGAAACCCCGAGAAGGACTTAGACTTGGATGGTTGGGCTATAGATCCATGGAATCTCTGCACGGTAAGAAAAGTTGAAGAGCTGAAAGCATTGATCAAAGTTCTCCCCATTTGGTCTACTGGGATCATGATTGCCGTAACCATAAGCCAACACTCATTTCCAGTGCTCCAAGCGACTGTCATGGACAGGCACTTGTTTGCAGCACGAGGCTTAGAAATTCCGGCAGGTTCCTTTGGCGTGTTCGCAATGATTACTTTGACAATATGGGTATCAATCTATGATCGAATTATAGTTCCCTTGCTATCCAAATTCACTAAACGATCAAGAGGACTTACCCTGAAAGAACGAATGGGCCTGGGGTTGGCAATCTCGTGTGTGGCAACAGCAGTTGCAGCTACAGTGGAGAGCAAGCGGCGAGCTGCAGCGATCAGACAAGGATTGGCTGATCATCCCTATTCAAAGGTGCACATGTCTGCAAGGTGGTTAGTGCCACAATACTGCCTTATTGGATTAGCCGAGGGTCTCAATGCAATCGGACAAATAGAGTTCTACTATTCTCAGTTCCCTAAGAGCATGGCTAGCATTGGAGTGGCTCTTTTTTCCCTTGGAATGGGTGTGGGAAACTTGGTTGGGAGTCTTATAGTTGAAATTTTAAATAGGGAGACCAAAAAACATGGAAAAGTGAGTTGGGTGTCAAACAACCTTAATAAGGGTCATTATGACTATTACTATTGGCTTCTTACAATTCTGAGTGTGATCAATGTCGTCTACTACTTGGTCTGTAGTTGGGCTTTTGGATCTTCTGATGAGAACAAAATAATGTGGAATGAAGGGGAAGGCATAGAGGAGGAAGAACTGCATGACCAGCATGCCAAGGGATCCCCCATTGTTTTTGCCCTTTGAATGCTATACTTTTACCGACAATTTGTGCCAAATAAAATATTTTCCCACTTAGCCACCATTTCTTTCTTTCTTTTTTTCTTTTCATGTTTATATATAATGCACTATCAGTACATAGATTTTATATATTGTTAGTGAATTTGATGATATCACCTCATTAATAAGGTTAATTCATTAATGAGTAATTTTTTTTAAAAAAAAATTTATATTTATTTTAAAAGTTAATATTTATTGTATCATCTTATTCACTGATAATATATCAAATATGAACTCTTTTTCTTTTTAACTATATTTGGTGGCTTGGCCATTTGAAATAGATTATCTATATATCAAACACAAGCGCTTTATTAGTGTATGAATGCTAAGATGAAATCGTCCCTTCTATTAAGTTTTGCATTTTAGTGACTATTATTTATTTAAATAGAAAATATGTCATGAATTTTACAAAAAAAGAAATGGACTAGGTCTAAAATAAATATCAAAACTTTACTGAAATAAATTCTATTTCATCCCAATTTTAGATTTTATTGAAACTACTTGTAGGTCCAATTAGGTCTTTTCTATCCTTTTCATCTATTGAGCATGTGACATAACTTGTTCATTATTATTCATATAAATTTAGATATGCATGATAATTCACTTAAATTAAAGGTGTAAATCAACATGTAATTTCCTTAAGGTTTGCATCATGATCTTATACTAAGTTTTATCTTTATGTTCAATTATGGAGGATTGGTTGTTTACTTATAATTTTAAGTATGATGTAGAAAGTATGATAACGGTTTTACTCAAACATCCCTAATGCCATGAAGACACCTAATAATTTAACTTGTCATTTTGCATACATAAATATCTTTTTTTTTTTCATGTTTTATTTTGATTATTTAATTTTCATATATTTTAGGGTAAACTTCACATATATCCTCTATTATATTTGCGTTTTCCACGTTCACTCATTGGAGAAATTTTTTTTCCCACCTATAATCCTATAGTTGACAACCATTACCAGAAAGGCTTGTGGTGTTAATAATTAGCAAGTTTTGTGTATGCTCAAGTTAAATAACTTGAAATTTCAATTATACCTTTATTTTTAACTATTCATCAATTTTTAATTTTTGTTTTCACGTTCCTTTCTTTATCTTGTACTAACCTATTCAATCCTTCAATTTTTTTCATTTTTTCTAACTATAGCCATTCACTCAATCCTTTAATCCTTCAGTCTTTTATCAGCCCACCCAATCCTTCAATTGCAATTTTAAAGCCAAACAAAATCAGAGCTACAAATTATTTTTTTTTTCTTTTTAAGTCACCATCTTGCTGACTTAAAGCTAAGGTTCTTTTAATTTGGGACATTGAGAATTTGGGTTTTAAATATGGGTTTCTTGATATTTGTGATGAAATTAGGGTTTTACTTTTTGGTTTTGATGATTTTTTTATGAAGAAAAGGCTTTTGGATTTAGGCTTTATTAGTTTTTAGGATAAAAATTACGATTTTTTTTTATAATTTAGGTTTGTTTAGTTTGTGATTTTTAGATTTGTAGGAATTGATGTTTACCCAATTCATTATCCATCATGCCTTGATAGTTTCGTAGGAATATTGACATGTAGTCATTTGAACTTTTGATTTCCATTTGATTGTTTTTGCTAGACCTTAAGATTTGAAGTGTTGATGTGTGATGCTTTATTTTTTAAAATCTAAAAAGTTGAATACATTTTTTGCTAATGCTTTATGATGTTTATGATACAGTTGTCTTAATGAAGATTTTAATGATATGCTAAAATAAAAGATAATTCAATACTTACTCATTTCATTTTCCTTTGTTTAGGCAATATTTGTAAGATTGCTAACATTAAGTCATATTATACATTAATGCACAGGATTACTAGATACGCTATCCAACAAACCTTTTAACTAAGGAAGAGCTTAATGGCTTTTTCATGGTTGTATCTCGTATATATTCTAAATGGAGTGCAAGAAAAGTTAGAATCAAGAACAATCTTATGTAGGATTTGAAGATGATAATATTAAGAGCTTTTTTTTTTCTTAAAGACTTTAAATCAGCCTAAGAGATTCCACTTGCACAAGAAAGCAAAGATAAGGTTAAATGGACACCCCTCATCATATTACTTACTTTAAAGTTAACTTTGATGATGCATTGAACACTAAATGAAAATATTAAGTATAAGCATAATCATTAGGGACCACTAGATGAAACAATAGTAATAGCAGCCCTTATAGTTAATTTTTGTCATTAAGACACATATTATAGATGCCTTGGCAACTTATATGTATTAGAGGTGGTAGTTCATATGTAGGTATAGCTAGATAATTTTGAAAGAAGACACATTATTAGTCAATAGATGAGGACCTCTTAAATATTGGTCTTAAATAATGGCAAATGTTGACAACAAGATGTAAAGCTTTGAGAAGTATTGTTTCACCATATAAAAAGTGAAGGCAATAAGGCATCACATGTTTTAAACATAATCTTACTATTTCAAGATATTTGAATTGGGTTAAGGAATGTCTAGATGTTATTAATAATATTTTTATGTTGGTTGTTGTCATGTATATATATATTTTTAAATTCAAAGAATAAATAATTTTATGTTCAGTTTGTTAGAATTAAAGTTTTGGAAAACAACTAGCTAATCTTTTGGATTAGATTTTCATTATATAGACAATACTAAAGAAAGAGAATCAATTACAAATTACACATTTATACTCTTAATTAATCTATCCTAAACTGTCTCTTATGGAATATTCCCATAATATTTTAATTCATACACATGTATACATTAACACTCCCCTTCAAGTTGAAGCATATATATCAATCATGCTCAACTCATTACAAATATAGTCAACTCAGACTCTTAGAAGTGATTTCATAAGAATATTGGCTAGTTGTTCTCCTGTGCACACATGCTTTAATAATATTGTTCCATTTTGTAATTTTTCCCTGATGAAATGACAATCAATTTCTATATGTTTGGTTTTTTCATGAAATGCTGAATTGGTAGCAAAATGAATTACTGTCTAATTATCACACCATATGTCTATAGGAGTTTTAATTGAAAGCCTAATTTCATCTAAAAATTGAACTATTCATAATTCTTTTGTTATAGCCAAAGCCATGGTCCTATACTCAGTTTTTGTTTTAGACCTAGCAACTACTTGTTGCTTTTTGCTTTTTCAAGACACCAGATTACACCCAAGGAAAATAGCATAACCAAATGCAAATTTCCTATCTATAGGTAAACTTGTCCAATTTGCATCTGCATAGGTTCGAATACCCTTATCACTAGTAGAACTATAAAGTATCCATTTTTCAAAATTTTTCAACAAATATCAGAGGATGCACATCACTGCTTTCCAGTTTGTATCTTTAAGAGCTACCATGAATTGACTAACCACATTCATTAAAAAAGATATATCAAGTCTCATCATAGTTAGGTAATTTAATTTTTCCATTAGTGTCTTGTAAAGTGTGGGATCTTTAAGTAAAGAGCCATCTTTTAGAGAAAACTTAATACTTAGATCTATCGGTGTGTCACTTGGCTTGGCATAGAACAAGCCTAGCCTATATTTCTTTTGAGATATAAAGATTCTCTTTTTATGCTTTGCCATTTCAATACCTAGAATATATTTTAATTGATCGAGATTATTAATCTCAAACTGGGACTTAAGATCATCTTAAGTCTATCAATCCCTACACTATCATTGCTAGTGATGATGATATTATCTATATACACTCTTAGATATATAAAATATTAAATGATCATTCTCATTCTGCCACAACCATACTAAACAAGAGCTGCATTAAATTTGTTGAACCAAGTGCGTGAAGATTACTTAAGGCCTTACATAGACCTACATAAATGGCACAATTTCCCTAACTCCTCCTGAGCAACAAACTTTGGTGGTTGCTTCATATATACCTTCTTAGCCAAGTCACCATGTAAGAAAACATTCTTCACATCCAACCATTACAATGTCCATCTATGTGTAACAATAAACTTGAAAAATAGGTGAATAGATGTCATCTTTGCCATTGGTGAAAATGTATCAAAATAATCTACTCTTTATGTCTACTCAAATCCCTTCACTATTAGCCAATCTAGCCAATGAACCATTAGGATTGAATGTTATGGTGTAAACCCACTTGAACCCAATAGTTTACTTTTCTTTCGACAAGGAAATCAACTCTCATATGTGGTTGGCCTCTATGGTCATTATCTTATTTTCCATAGCCTTATGCCATCTTAAATATGCAAAAGCATCACAAAAAATACGTAGCATAATAATAGTATCAATTGTAGCAATACAAGTATGAAATTGAGTAAAATGTCCTTTGTACAAAGGCATGTATAAAGGAAAATTTTTGCAAGTTTACGTACCTTTTTGTAAAGCAATCAGTACATCCTCAACTATAGTGTCTCGAAGTGGATCTATCAACGAAGAGACTATCTCAATAAAGAAAGTTTTCATAGTTGGATCTATTTAGGTTCATCTAGTGTACGTACGATCAAATCAAGTATCAAAGCATGCCTCTAAAAGAGATGCATTTATTGGTGTACTATATATCTGATAGATAAGAAAATATTTTTCTTCTAATGAGATAGGTAATGGATGAGACTAGTATCAAAGGACTAAGAACTAACTCATGAAACATGACATCTGCCAAAGTAATAAAGTGACCTAGGTTTAGAGAGTAGCATTGATACCTTTTTTTGACATGTGAATAACCTAAGAAGATATATTTAAGAAAACATAGGTTTAATTTAGTGTGAGCCGAATGAATGTCATAAACAAAACATGTGCACCCAAACACCTTGAAAGAGATTAAAAATAAGGGACGATAAAGACACAATACTTAAAAAAAAACTTTTCTTTCAAGAATTAATGATGACAAATGATTTATAAGATAGCATACTGTAAGGATTGCTTCATTCTAGAACACTTTAGGGACCTTCATTTAAAACAGAAGAGTTCTAACCATTTT